CCAACTGCACTGTGGCAGTGATGTGTATTCCTCTGATTGGGAGAAAAGAAAAAGGAGGTGTGATTCTGTTCTGAGTGATTCAATATGTCCCTTGTCTCTTTGAGATTGTCATTGTTATTGTTCTAAATAAAGTTCATTTAAAAAAATTATCAGGGCTAATAGTTATGGTTTAGGCTGATGGTTAAGGTTAGGCATTGTCAATGAAATGTCCCCACTGAGATATGAAAACGAATGTGTGTGTGTTACAGAGGTTACAGTTCATTTGCGTCATTTTAAACCGACGGAACGTTTTGAATAAGGAAGCGAGAGCTTCCGCTTACTCATCGTTCCAAAGCTCTTTCCGGTTCCTGCCGTCGCGCGAGGCGAGCGAACACACATGTGCACATGTTTAAACCCGGCCGAGAGTCACAAACACTGATCCATGTTTAATGTGAGTCAGAGCCATGTTGGACTACACACCTATGTTGCTTCACTTAGACTGTGATTCTTTTAAAACTGTCTTCTGGCCGAAAACGCTTCAAATTTGTTTTATTTTGAAAGGCCTTAACCGGAAGTATGTGTTTATTCCACGTAACTTCACGTTTCCGGTTTGCGCTAACGCTACATCCGCTGCAGGGCTTGGAACAAGTCTGTCGTTTGAATTAGTGTCCGTGTGGTACTTGCTGAATCCCAATATGAACACGGTCCTGTCGAGAGCTAACTCGCTGTTTGCCTTCTCCCTGAGCGTCATGGCGGCTCTGACTTTCGGCTGCTTCATCACCACAGCGTTTAAAGACAGAAGGGTTCCTGTGGACATCCACGTCTCTAAAGTCATGCTGTAAGTCTCTGCTTTCAACAGCTGTTAGCATCACACCAGGTTCTATCGTGTCTTTGTTCCGTGTAGCAGAGGCTGCAGGGTGGTTTACATGCTAGCTGTTTGGCGGGAGCCGCTCTGTGGCCTGCGGTCCTGAGCCTGGACAGCATCCTCAGCCTCGGGATACTCACTGTGCCTGGAAGGGGTGCAGAGCGGTAGTTCAGAGCTGTACTGTACCACAGCTGTGTACCATAGTACAGATATACAGATATGTACTGTACCACAGCTGTGGTACAGTACAGCTCTGTAGTACAGAGGTAAACACAGAAGCATTTAGGGTCATGTGAGGAACAGCAGTCGTTTCTTTCACCTTTGCATGCGTCCGTCCCAACTTCTACATGTCGAGTGACGTTTGTAACTTCTCTCTCTCTCTCTCACAGGAAGAACGTTGATGACTTCACTGGACCCCGAGAACGAAGTGACCTGGGTTTCATCACCTTTGACCTTTCAGCTGATATCCTTCCTATTAAAGCATTGCTGTGTTTGATTTTTTCTTCTTGCCATGTGTTGCAGCTGCTTCAGAGAATCTTTGCAATAAGAGTGCACTGTGTGGCTGCTCATGATTGTGCATTCATTCAGCTCTTTGTAGACTTGTCGTCTTTTTTAAAAACTCCATCCTGAGACAAAAGAACAGTTTGAAGCAGCTGTGTGTGTTGGGCGTTACTAAATGAATGCCAGTAGGTCTGACAGAGATTCCAGCCAAAGGCTTGTAATTATACAGTCATTACATTGATTCTTAAACCAAAATAACCCTGCACGCTCACTGCTGAATCATTCACATTTGAGTTCAAGTCGCGTTAACACCAGATTATCCCTGGTTACCATGGCGATGTACACCATTGTTTTAGGCACTGACAATGCAGTGAAGATGCTCGGATTCATTTTTGTTTTCCTCTCTCGGTTCTGTTGATGGTCCTTAACTTCTCCCACATTTGCAGCCAATTTTTGATTGGAATGTGAAGCAGTTGTTTCTCTATCTGTCTGCTGAGTATGCCACAAAGAGCAATGTAAGTCCTAATGCACACACACCTCGACCTTTTAGTAAGAAGCAGGCATGAAGCACGCTACATATGGCTTATCAAAGCATCACATTGTGTCTGACGGTTAGTGCGCAGGTCAAACTACAAGTCTGATGTGTGAATGCACGCCAGCACTCTGATCACTTTAAGCATTCAGTCACTCGTCTCACCTCATCTTCATCATCACGTTGTTATGAGAATGCTGAACATGAGGCTTTTTGCACAAGTCAGTGACAGCGGTCCATACAGATCACCGACGGCAAACAATACACAGCTGGGTGGTTTTTAGCTGTCAGAGGAGTGGTTTCAGGGCTCGCAAAATTTCAAAACCCCTGGTAGCCCTTCGGGCAGGGACTCTTCAGTTTTTGGTAGCCAAAATAAATTTAAGTAGCCCGAA